AAAACATATGTAAAAACAAATGTTTTACTATTTAGACTGAGCATTAATTCAACTTATTCAACAGTCTCTCTCTAATGATTGCTCAGTTATTATTTACTTTCTTAACTTAATCTACAGTTTAATTGTTATTCAACATATTTTTACATATGTATTCTGACAAAGCACAAAGGGGAGTATGAAGGTGAGTAAGTTATAGCTCTTTTTAAGGGTATTGGGAATATGTTTTTGGAAGGGATGACACTAAGCTGGGTTGTGAATGAAGGGTGGGTTTTGGCCTAAAACATTGTCTTCCAGGAGGGGGAAATAGCATCATAATTTCATTGTTTCTATTTAATATTCCCTTCTATTCCCCTATTCTGTATTTCTTTTTAGTTTTTAATGCTAAATAAATTCCGAAGTAATGTTTTAAGTTTCTATGTTTTAAAACTCCAAATTTCTGTCATTTGGTTCTCAGCATCCATCAAACTAATCCTTATTTTTCCCTTTTAGAAATTATAACTTTTATATAATGGCAGTTTTATATCATCTCACAAAATTTGGAGAAAATTGATCACCGTTTGAGGAGAATAGATTCTTTTTGGTCTAACTCAGGTAAGAGAGAGTTCTGATTCTCACTGCCTTCATTTGCAAATAGGATTAATAACATTTCTGTTCTGGAGTGTGAATCATTTCTAGGGCTCAGAGAAGACTCATCTATGTTGTTTTTGATCCAATTCAGGTGAAGCTGTCAGTGGAATGCAGTGAACTACAATTGTCATGTAAAAACTTTACCACAGGGCACTAAGATCAGGGATATAGGCAAAATTTCAGAAGTTGAGAGTTAGTTTATTGATGTCTCTTTCTGGTGTGCAAGGAGGGCTGGTTGAAAGTAGGAGAGTTGTGGTAGCCTAGAATAGCTCTGAATCATGGCATAGTTATGGACATATATAACTAAAATAAAAAATATTATTAGAGTTTAATTTACATAAACCCAGGCAGCTGCATTAATTTTTCCCTAACACCTCATGTACAAGTGGCTCAACATGAAAATGGTTTTAACTAAAAACACTCTGGAAAAAATAATTCTGGAGACTAGGAACTTAGAACAGACTATATCTGGGTAAGAATGACTTTGGCTAGTCAGCAGACAGTGTGAGGGCAGCAGACAACTAAGCAGTAGTAGATGTCAGCATGACAAAAGACTGTACAGAAGCTGGAGATGAGGTTGTCGATACCAAAGACCCACTTTGTCTTCTATGAAATTCTATTAAGTACCTTGGTAGTAAAAGCTACTTCCTCATAACCTTGAAGTTATTTTTGATTTAAGTTGTCAGTGACTTACAGCGTAGTGTAGTGAAGAAAGGCTGCACTCTGACATCAACTTTTTTTTATTTTATTTTATTTTTTAAAATATGTTTTTACTGACTTTAGAGAGAGAGGACGGGAGAGGGAGAAAGAGATAGAAACACCAACGAAAGAGAAACATCAACCTGATCGACTGCCTCCTGCATGCCCCTGGTGGGGATTGAGCTGGTAACCCGGCCATGTGCCCTGACTGGGAATGAAACTGGCAACCTCTTGTGCATGGGTTGCTGCTCAATTGTTTTTTAAATTAATAGTTTTGTTAAAGAGAAAGACATGTGCAAAATAAAAAATGTATAGAAGTATAGAGAAGAGAAAAAAAATCACCCCTAGACTCTATAGAAAGATAGCAACTGTTAAATGTTTTTTAAAATTGTTTTTTATTTTTCAATTATAGTTGACATACAATATTATATTAATTTCAGATGTACAACATAGTAAGTAGACACTGACATACCTTATGAAGTCATCACCCTGATAAGTCTAGTACCTATCTGATACCATACATACTTATTATAATATTATTATCTGTACTTTGCATCTTTGTGACAATTTTTATAACTGGAAATTTGTACATCTTAATTGGATTTTTATTTTAAATTCTAGTTCTTTGTGATCTTGTAGAGAAAATTTTATTTGTCTCCAAGATCAGTCTTCATTGTACCAGAAGGTACTTGGGAAGATATTAATTCTAAGTTTGGAGCCCTAAAGAAATCGAACTCTCTAGGTAGCTTTTCTTTAATTGTTTTATTTCAAAGCAATAAATAAGGATATTGTTTTTGAGAGTTAAAATATACTTCAAACCTCAATGCCATGATTAAGAAGGATCCTAACAGTGTGTATTAAGTGGCATTTGCATCCCTGGAGAAATTAGAGAGTAAAAAAAGTACCAGACAAGACTGGACATATTACATGAATCTTGGAATCAGATGGTTGATATAGATTATTTCTGAAGGTTCATCTCAAATAATTTATATCCATAAAAACATTATATGTGATATTAGACTGATATTGGACACAGGTCTGATGGAAGAAGCAGATGCTATTTTCAATACAAAATAATAATAGCATGTAAAGGGATTCATGAGCAATATAAACAAGATCCGTTGGAAGTGAACTGAATTTAAATAGAGGATGGTTATTCTTGAAATCCAAATTTTAGACTGGAAGGTAGAAATCATGAAGGGAAAGAAAATAGGGAGGGTAAATTTCAGGAGGCATAATATGAAAAATAGAAGTTCCAGAAAGAAAATGAACTAATTTAATTAAAATGGAAAGAGGAGGTGAGATGAAGGGGGAGAAAAATATTTTGAAGGTCTAATCTTACCTAGTGTAAGGGAAAGCAGGAAAGAAATAAAACTTATTGGGAGGGAAAATAGTTGGCATCTTATTTTAAAATCAGAGTAGAGACATTTGTCACTGGAAAAGGGACAATTAACAACAACAAAAAGAAAAGTATAACAGGACTTCTGTGTTAATAACTGGGCTGATTAAATGAACACCATCTTAACCAAACCAACAAAAATTAAACATGAACAAGTTATATTTTTCTTGTTGACATTATTGCAAGCCCAGAAAATCCAACATATTTTAGTGAAAAACGATTTTACACAATAGCAGAATGTAGGAACAGACAAAAAATACCCCCTTCCCCATTTTAGCAAGAAGAATCTAGAAATGGAGATGAGGAAGGGAATTACATTCACAATGTCAAAGAAACTATATAAAATACATGGGAATAATTTAAACAAAGAGGCATATAACATATATGAACAAAGGGAAAAATCTTACTGAAGGACATGAAATGAGGTTTGAACAAATGGATGAATGTATTATTCTTGAATGGGAAGACATCGTCATAATAATGCTACTTCATTCAAAGTTAATATATACATTTAATGCAATTCAAATCAGAATCCAACGGGAATTTTTTGAAGGATTGGATAAACTGATCTTAAAATGTATATGTAATAATATATGCTCAAGACCAGCCAAGAGGTATGAAACAAGGTATAAGAACAGTGAAAAAGGGATTTGTTTTAACAGATATAATGATAAAGCCACTATTGTGAAATACCCAAATATTTATACAGAAATAGATAAATATATCAGTGGAAGTAGAATAAAGAATCCAGAAACAGATCCCAAAATATCTAAGAATTTAGCATATGAAAAAATGGTAGTTAAATTCAGTGGGGAAAGAATAAGCTATTTAACACACAGTACCATTACAATTCTATTCACCCAAAAGAAATGAAAAGTGGACTTATATTCTAAAACATACAAGAAATAATAGAGCACAGTTCTAAATAAAAAGCAAAAAATAATAAAATGTTGAAAGAAAATCTAAGGGTATACATGTATGGTCCAGGAGCAAGGGTAATCTTAACTAAGACCAAACTCAGTAGCTATAAAATAAGTAATAGCTGGATTTAATCACATAACAATAAAAAACTTGAATATAGCAAAAGAAACCATAAACAAAATTAATAGATAATTGATTTAGAGAAAATATATAACAAATGACAAAAGCTTAAAATCTATAATATAAAAAGAATTCCTATATTTTGATAAGAAAAAGCAGAATAGGAGATAAGAAAAGATATGAATAGGAAATTCACAGAGCAAACCCAAACTGCAAAAATAAAAACAATAAAACCAACTTGTTCAAATGTATTGGTTGTCAGGGAAATGAAAATTAGAGCAACAATGAAGTATCACTTTACACCCAATATACTGGCAACAATTTTAAAAAGTGTTAACATTTATTCTTGTGGAAATATGTGTGGTTACAGACTTTTTTGAAGGCAATCAGGAAAACTACTGAAATTAAAAATATATATACTTTTGCCTGGCTGGTGTGGCTCAGCGGTTGAGCATAGACCCAGGAACCAAGAAGTCACTGGTTCAATTCCCAGTCCGGGCACATGCCTGGGGTTGTGGGCTCAATCCCCAGTAGGGGACATGCAGGAGTCAACCAATTGATGATGTTCCTCTCTCATAGATGTTTCTATCTCTATATCCCTCTCCTTTTCCCTCTCTTTAAAAGATCAATAAAAACATATATAAATATATATGTACTTTAATCCAGTGATACTACTGGGAATCCATGACACAGAAACAAAAGCATTAATTGTTTGCAGCATTGTCTGTAGGGGCCAAAACCGCCCCCCCCCCCAAAAAAGCCACAAACAAACAAAAAAAACAAACAAACCACCAACAAAAAACCAAACAAACAAAAACAAAACCCCCCCCCCCCAAACAAACAAAAAACAACAACCCACAAACAAACAAACAAACAAACAAACAAACCACCAACAAAAACCAACCAAACAAAAACAGAACTAGAAACAAGGTGAACATTTACACTGCGAATATTAGGCAGTCATTAAAGAATAAAATAGAGCACCTCCTCAGATAGTTCTCTGTGCCTTTTTGCACATATTTCCATTCTGTGGCATATATGAGTGTAGCAATTAGTAAGTATAAGTCTCTGTATTTCCTGATGTACCTCTCCTTAAATTCTTAGGTGCCTTTGTCTACATTTTCCTGTCTTCTTTATCCACTAACACCCAAACTAAACTTGAGGCACATGATTAAATGATACCAAAGATCTAGACATGGAAAAATGTCTGGTGCTGGCTCTGTGATTCTTGAACTACATAAACTCGAAGTAGCTGTGTACAATGACAAGGTGATCTTTAGTTTTTTGACATTTGTGTAACTCCATAGCCAGGACTTCCTTTCCACCTTAAAAATATTATGTCACCTCTCTCTTATGCTTTCCAGGTAACTTCAGGATCAGCCTAGCACACCAAGTTGATGGATGGAGGAAATTACTCGGTGGTGTCTGAATTTTTGTTGCTGGGACTCACCAGTTCCTGGGAGATTCAGATTCTTCTTTTTCTGCTTTTCACAATATTTTATATAGCAAGTATGCTAGGAAACCTTCTCATTGTGCTGACAATTATCTCAGACCATCACTTACATTCCCCCATGTACTTTTTGCTGGCAAATCTCTCCCTTATTGACACAGGTGTTTCTAGCATTGCAACCCCAAAGATGGTTTATGACATTTTCAGAAAACATAAAGTCATCTCTTTGAAAGGGTGCATTACTCAGATGTTCTTTATTCACACTGTTGGGGGTGCAGAGATGGTGCTGCTTATAGTCATGGCCTATGACCGATACATTGCTATCTGTAAACCACTCCACTATCTGACCATCATGAGCCTAAGAATGTGCATTTCTCTTTTGGCTGTTGCTTGGACCATTGGACTCATCCACTCTGTGGCTCAACTGGCTTTTGTTGTAAACTTACCCTTTTGTGGTCCCAACAAAATGGATAGCTTTTATTGTGATTTTCCTCGGTTCATCAAACTTGCGTGTACAGACACTTATAGATTGGAGTTTCTGGTCACTGCCAACAGTGGTTTCATTTCCATGGGCACCTTCTTTATCTTGGTTATATCTTACATCTTCATCCTGGTCACAGTTCGCAAACACACCTCAGGGGGCTCATCCAAAGCCCTCTCCACTCTCTCAGCTCACATCACCGTGGTGGTCTTTTTCTTCGGTCCTTGTATTATTGTCTATGTGTGGCCATTCCCTACCTTACCCATAGATAAATTTTTAGCCATTTTTGATGCCCTTATCACTCCTTTTATGAATCCTATTATCTATACATTTAGAAATAAGGAGATGAAGGTGGCAATGAGGAGACTGTTTGGTAAGATTTTAAGTTTCAGGAAGTGTTCCTTCATGCATAATTCAAGAAATTCAGATTCATCTTGACTATAGTACTTGGAAATGAATCTCTTTAATTAAACTTTTCATAGATCTTTTTAATTTAGCAAATGATTTCAATATCCATTGTGAAATATCTCCTCAAGGACTCTGTTCTGATCTGGTCAGTTTTTCACAGGGATCCTTTTCGAAGGATCCTAAAAATGTTGAGGACGAGTGACTTCAGCTTTGGAATGCAGTCTCCTTTATTATTGAAGACTTTGGTGAAAGCTGCAATCTCACATTTTTGGGCACATTTTCCGGGAATGTAAATTGTCTTATCTTTGGTAGTAATTCTCAGAGACATATCTCTTCTAATCTACACATGTACCATATTCATGCTCTTTGAATTACTCCGTGTCTATATACCAGGAGGAATAAACAACATGAAGATAATTACCCAGGTAGCTTTTAAACTTTGAGGCTTCTAACTTCTGGATATGCCCATCCATGCTCAGACTTAGTTAATACTAAGGTTTTAGAATTAGAATTGAAAGGTGAAATTTGGGGTAAATCAAAGAGTGACAACTCAGGAAACTTTACTATTATTAATCAAATGTTCTGAGATCAGAAGGTGTGTATGGTAATTATGTTTCACTCCAATTGTTTTCTAAACAATAGTCATTATTTTTATATGGCAAAGAAAATTATGTGACTCTTAAATATTATAAATAGATTGAATATTTTGGAGCTAAAAAGGGGTGGTAATGGTTTATGAATAAATGAATAAAAATGTAAAATATTTCTATATCATGTGGACCAGTTTTATAACTAAATAAAAAGCAAAAAAAGTGTAGATATTACAAAAGAAAATTTATTACAAAACTATCTATAGCCCATCCGGTGTAGTGTCAACCCATGAACCAAGAGGTCACTGGTTTGATTCCCGGTCATGGCACATGCCTGGGTTGAGGGCTCAATCCCCAGTAGGGAGTATGCGGGAGGCAGCCAATCAATGATTCTTTCTCATCATTGATGTTTCTATCTCTTCTTCTCTCTTCCTCTCTGAAATCAATAAAAATTAAAAATATATTAAAATAAAACAAAACAAAAAACTGTCTATAAATGGATATAAAGCTATAGTGAAGAAATGTATTAAACTTTCCATGTGCTAAGATATACAATTATTTAAAAAATATACTGTTCAAAAGAGTATAAGTGACTATTCAGAACTTTAAAGAGTATCCCACTCTTCTTTACGGGTTACCAAATGAATAGGGACAAGTGTTAAGTGAAGGTATTATTATTCACGTGTAGGTTAGTTCACTTGTTATGAAACTGGCTAATTATTCTTAAAAGTCCAAGTGATCATCTGCAACAATAGATTGTTAGTAAAGGATGGAAGAACAATGCTAAAGGCTGAAATTAATATTTCTGACAAGTCTTTACCCTCTGCCCTGCACAGATTTGCCAGTGAACCTCAGGTAAAAGATCAAATTGTCTCAAGCTTGAGGAAAGATGTGTTGTCACTCCTTTTTTGCAGTTATTTTTTCATGTATTAAAAATTTTCATCCCATTTTTAAAATTGAGGTATAATTGACATATCCTACATAATAAAAGCCTAATATGCTAAGTGTCCGGTCATCTGGTTGTCTGTTCAACCAATCAAAGCATAATATGCTAATGATATGCTAAGGCCACTCAACTGCTCACTATGACATGCACTGACCACCACGGGCAGACAGTCAACTGGTTGACCAGTCACTATGATGTGTACTGACCACCAGGGGCAGACGCTCCGACCAGTAGGTTAGCTTGCTGCTGGGGTCTGGCTGATCGGGACTGAGCGAGATGGGCCAGACATGCCCTGGAGCTCTCCTGCGGTCACTCCCCGGCTGGCCAACCTCCTGTGTCCCTCCCCAACCCCAATTGTGCACCGGTGGGGTCCCTCAGCCTGGCCTGTGCCCTCTCACAATCCGGGACCCCTAGGGGGATATCAGAGAGCCAGTTTTGGCCTGATCCCGCAGGCCAGCCAAGGGACCTCGTGCACCAGGCCTCTAGTAATATTATATTAGTTTCAGGTGTACAACATAATGATTCAATATTTGTATATTTTGCAAAATGGTCATAATAATCTAGTTGATATCTAACACCACAATACTTATGTTAAAATTTTTTTTATTTTAAAATTACAATTTATGTTCAATAGTATATTCAACTACAGTTTATATTCAACATTATTCTGTATTAGTTTCAGATGTACAGCATAGTGGTTAGACAATGATGTACTTTACAGAGTGGTCCCCCTGATATTTCAAGTACCCACCTGGACCCATACATAGTTGTTATGGTATTATTGACTATATTCCATGTGCACGATGAGAACTTAAAGATCTATTCTCTTAGCAACTTTCAAATGTATAATACAGTATTAAGTATAGTCACCATGATGTACATTACATCCCCAGGACTTATTTTATAACTGGAAGTTTGTACCATATTTTTTTTAAACAGCTTTCCTTTAGTGTATATATAGTTAGTTATAAAATTTTACTGACAGAAAGATGCATTGTGTACTTTTCTGATTATTTTCTTTGGATAAAACCTTAGATATGTAATTACTGGGTGAAGAGTAACTGTATCTTTAAGGCTTTTGTTTCATATTACTAATTGTCCCGAATGAGGAGGATTTTGTTTAAAGATATAGACAACAATCTGAATGTTTTCATTTTTTATTCAAATCAGTATATATTCAAATTTTACTTGATTTATTTCTAAGTTTCAAGCTTATTAGCTTTTTACCCTTACATTTTAGGTCATCTGGTTTGCTAAGAATTTTCATCAAGAAAAATGTGTTGGCCCGGCTGGCATGGCTCAGTGGTTGAGCATCCACCTATGAATCAGGAAGTCATGGTTTGATCCTGGTCAGGGCATATACCCAGGTTGGGGGCTCAATCCCTAGTGTGGGGTGTGCAGGAGGCAGCCGGTCAATGATTCTCTCTCATCATTGATGATTCTATCTTTTCCTCCCTCTCCCTTCCTCTCTGAAATCAATAAAAATATATTAAAAAAGAAAAATGTGTTGTGTTTTGTCAAATGTTATATTTTATGTAGAACATTCTGTGTCAGAGGCTTTTGTTTGTTTTTTGGATGGGATACTCTTTCAATCTGAAAGTCAGTTCTTTTATTTCTGGAAAGTTTTCTTATGTGTTAGCCTTAAAGATGTGTTCCATTCCATTGCATTTTCCACTTTGGGACCCAAATTATGTGTGCATTGAAACTTTCATATCTATATCTTCTTCCTACACCTTTTAATCTTTTTAATTCATTTCCATTTCATTTGGGTCTTATCCCTTTCTTTAGCTCTCTCCTATTTGTGTCAGCAGTGTCTGCTTTCCTCTGGACTCTTTCCAATTTTACCTTAATATCTGTGGTGAATACTTTTTTCTTTTACTTCTTTCTTGAGATGTGTCTGTTCATATTTAATCTCTTTTTCCTAGCTTATCTTTTTGAGATTTTCAATCTATATATCTCTTCTAAAGTTGATAGATCCAGTAAATTAAACAAAATTCATGGTTAAATATTTGGTCGTGATTTTTGGTTCATTTGCTCTATGGCAATATTTTTATGGAGCCTTTTCCCTGCCATTTGTTTTCATGTGTTTTTTTTTTCCAATTGGGTAGATCTTGTGTTGGCTTTTTTAATAGTTAATTTTTAAAATTTAAAATAAAATTAAAAAATATTTTTCTTTAAAATTGTTTTTAGCATTTATTTAGCATTTTATAGTTTTAAAAACACAGCTATTTGTTTGTGGTAATTTTATACTCTTTCCTACTACAAAATTTTAATTTGCTTTAATATATTGTTCTCTGTACCCTTTTACCCTCATTCCACCTCTTTTCCCCCCCAACCACTCCTCTCTCTTTTTTTATTCCTTAGGCTCTTTTATTTTTGTGGTGAAAATTTAGCTTAAGAGTTCCAAATGAGTAGTTTTTAAATATGCCTTGCTTGGGGGTAACTACTGTCATTGCTTGTAGTGGAAGGTTCTGTCTGAGCCTGGATTGGAGGAGGGTAATAAGGCAGAATGACTGGCTTATTTCACTTTGCCTACTGTTCTTCAGGTCCACCAATCCTGTTGCAAAGGGTAAAATTTTCTTCCTTTTTACGGCAGAGTAGTATTCCATTATGTAAATGTATCACAGCTTTTTAATCCACTCATCTATTGCTTCCAAATATTGGCTATTGTAAATAATGCTGCAGTGAACATAGGGTTACATATATTTGTTCAAATTAGTGTTTTGGGTTTATTTAGATAAATTCCCAGAAGTGGAATCACTGGGTTATAAGGCAGTTCCATTTTTAATTTTTTGAGGAAACTCCATACTGTTTTCCATTATGGTTGCACCATTCTGCATTCCCAGCAACAGTGCATGAGGGTTCCCTTTTCTTCACATCCTCTTGAACACTTGCTGTTTGTTGATTTATTGATGACAGCCATTCTGACAGGTGTGAGGTGATATTTCATTGTGGTTTTAATTTTCATTTCTTGATGATTAGTGACATTGAGCATCTTTTCATATGTCTATTGGCCAGCTCTATGTTCTCTTTGGAGAAGTATCTATTCAGGTCCTTTGCCTATTTTTCAATTGGATTTTTCTTTTGGTGTTGAGTTTTATAAGTTCTTAATACAGTTTGGAAATTAATCCTTTATCAGATGTATCATTGGTGAATATGTGCTCCCATTCAGTGGGTGGTCTTTTAATTTTGATAATGGTTTCATTTTCTGTGCAAAACTCTTCAGTTTGATTTTGCTCTTGGCATTTTAATTATGATGTGTCTTGGTGTGGTCCTCTTTGGATTCCTTTTGTTTGGGGTTCTCTGCGCTTCTTGGACCTGTAAGTCCATTTCTTTCACCAGGTGGGGGAAGTTTTCTGCCATTATTTCTTCAAATAGGTTTTCAATATCTTGCTGTCTCTCATCTTCTGGCACCCCTATTATTCTGATGTTGGTACGCTTGAAGCTGTCCCAGAGGCTCCTTACACTATCTTCGTATTTTCGGATTCTTTTTT